AACTTAAAGTATTTGAGGTATTTGGATGTTTCTTATTCAAGTATCATCTTTGTTAACATATATTGCTTTTATGGGCTGAGTAATCTTAAAATTCTTAAAATGGCCGGCAATAATTTTCAGGGTGATGTAGCAAGATATTTATTTAATAATCTCACTTTTCTAGAGCACCTTGACATGTCGTATGGTCGTGTGGTAGAGTTACATCCAAGCTCGTTCAAAAATCTTCAAAGGCTTAGACTTTTGAATCTCAGAGGTAACCATTTAATGACTATAGATTTTCTGGCCCTCCCAAACCTGAAACAATTAACATCCCTTTATGTCGATAAAAACAGCATTACTAGCATCCCACTTCATGTTCTCCAAAATTTGCCCACAAACCTTTCAGATTTTGATTTGTCCTCTAACCCCATCGATTGCTCCTGCTCCCAGACAGATTTTATTTGGTGGATTATCCACAATCAGAACGTTTTGAAGCAACCAGAAAACATTTTCTGTAAAACCTTCTCACCAAGTTCAGATTTTAGAGCAACAGACTTTGACATTGACAGCTGTGTGCACAAGAAAAGACTCACAATGGTTTTATCGGTATGTTTTGTTACAGTAGTAGTTCTTTTATCACTCTTGGTTTATAGGTTCCAGTTTTATCTTCAGTATTGCTGTATTTTACTGAGAGGCTACAGATCACCTGGACAACAAGAATGTTCCTATGATGCATTTGTGATTTTCTCCAGCTATGATGAAGTCTGGGTCATGAATGAACTGATGGAGAATCTGGAGAACAGTGTTCCACCTATTCAGCTTTGCCTTCATATGCGGGACTTTCAAGCAGGGAAGTCCATCGCCTCCAACATTATCGATGAAGGAATAATGGGCAGTCGTAAAATCATTGTGGTCGTGTCTCAACACTTCATTGATAGTGCCTGGTGTCGATTTGAGTTTGAATTAGCTCAGTCTCGCTTTATGATGGAGCGCAATGCCAACATCATCATCATCATTCTGGAAGATGTGGAAGAGAGGAAGTCTAAGAAAGTGTTTGGACTTCATAAGCATCTGAAAAAGAACACATACCTAAAATGGAGCAGAGACCCTTTGAGTAACATGAGATTCTGGATACGCCTCAGGAAAGCTATTATTGCCACAAACCACTAATTTTACATATATTGCATATATGTTTTAAATAAATAAACTCGTGCCTCATTTTCAACCACAATTTTAAAGAAGAATTATTGCATTTTATGTTGTGTTAAACCATTTTCCCAAGGCAGAGCTCCTTTGAAAAACTGCAAATAAAGGGCTTTCTATGCATCATGGGAATGCACGTTGCAAATAAATAACTTCCCTTTTAAAACAAAAAGGAGAAGTGAGAGATGTTTACACACATGCAATACTAAGACAACAGAGAAAAATCTGATTTATGTCAAATGTGATATAAATTGAAACGGCTTCACACTCACTGATGTGTGAATTTAAGTAATATTCAAGATCTAGTGACAGAAAAATTCTTAGTTTGCTGTAGGATCTAGAATCTCCTGTCCAGCAGTTTGTTCTTTGTCACGTCAAGTTTTCCATCGATCTCACGCAAGATCATTTCTAACAATGATCATGCCATTTGTGGAATGGATGATTTTCCTATGCTTAATCTTAATTTTGGTGAATGCTGGAAAAGGACACGAATGTACCACGGTAAGAACAGCTCATAATATAGTTCATATATATGTTTGACATGTTTTGAATACTGTTTGTTTATGCAGGCTCAATAATTAGTATAGTAGTATTTTGTAGTAGTGTTATTGATATTATTATAGTAAGATAAAGTATTATTAACATGCAGGGCTTCTGAACTTTTGTATTAATTTGACTCATGTTCTCTTGAGAGTTTTATTATTTCAATGTCCCAGAAAACAAAATATTATAATATAAAATATTATATTATATTATATATTAGTAATTTCCTAATTAACCTTGTTTTTCAAGGGAAGGGAAAAGGGAAATTTCATAGTATGTATATATGCACTTTTCAGAGCTTGACTTTACTCTTTATCTATCTATCTATCTATCTATCTAATAGTAAAGTAAAAAGGCCTTGGTGTCTCTCAGACAGAACACGAAGGTTGTAAAAATAAAAAATACCAAAAGTAAGTTGAAGTAAAAAGCAAAAATGGTCATTTCCTGTGTCTTTCTTTCATTTCTAGATAATAAAGAACATGGAGTACTCATGTTCTGGGAGAAATTTGACTCATATTCCCAGCAGTCTTCCCTTCACTGTGACGTCTCTGGATTTCAGTTTCAATTTCTTGAGCTCTTTACATAAGTGTGTATTTCCTGTATTGTTGAATTTAGAAGTCTTGGATCTCACAAGGTAAATGAACAATCATGAATCATTATGTGTTACAATTTAAACATGTTAGCCATTTTTCAAATGTACTCACTTTTAATCTTTTTCCTTTCAGATGCCACATCAAGCACATTGAAAATGATACTTTCTACAATGTGAAGAATTTGACTACTTTGATTCTCACTGGAAACCCTATTACATACTTTGGACCTGGATGCTTGAATTCTTTACATAATCTACAAAGACTAGTTCTTGTGGATGCTGGTCTCTCATCCTTACAGCTTCAAATGAATAACCTAACCAAGCTGCAGGAGCTTAGAGTCGGGACAAATAACATCCAGTCTATGTCTATCCCTCCATTCTTGAGCACCTTCAAAGACTTCAGTTTACTTGATCTACATGCAAATAATATATCCATCATCAAATCCAATGACACAGTTGTGTTGCGAGAGATCGGCAGAAACATGACTTTGATTCTCTCTATGAATCCATTATTACACATTGAACCAGGAGCTTTCAAAGGCATTTATCTCAAGGAATTTCACATACAATCTGCCTTTGTTTCATTAAATGCACAAAAGGAGTGTCTAGAAGCTCTTGCTGGTCTTAGTGTGGATAAGTTGTTCACTGGTAGTTACAGAATGCAATGGAAAGTCAAGGTGACAGATGCGAGTTATCTTGATGGTCTTTGCTCAGTTAATTTCAATGAAATATATTTTGTTCTGAAAGAATGGTCTGACTCTAAAATGCACTTGTTCCGCTGTATGATCAATGCCACAAAAATCACACTGAAAAGAGGATATTTCAAAAGCATGGAATATATTCCATTTCACCGTCTTAAGGAGCTGTATTTAGGCCCCACTTTATTATCTGTTGTACCATTGATTTCACACATACCTAGCTTAGAAAAACTAGTGGTGAAGAATAATATGCCCATGACCTTTAATGGTATCACTGATTTGCCTCTTCTTCAGTTTGTAGATTTGAGTGGAAACTTTTTGATTATGAAGGACTGCTGTTCCCAATTTTTTCAAAGGACACCAAATATTCGCTACATGAATTTTAGTCGAAACTCGGAGATAGGGATGACCGATAAGCCATTTTCTGGATTAAACTTGCTTGAAGTATTGGACCTCCATCGTACAAAACTAGTCCTAGTTTTTTACTTTGGATTTTTACATGGTCTGAAAAATTTAAAGTATTTGGATATTTCTTACACAAGTATTACTTTCACAAGACAAATGTTTTTTCAGAACTTGAACAATATGACTGTGCTTAAAATGGCGGGAAACAGTTTTCATGGTGATGCATTGACTTATCTCTTACAAAATCTAACAGGCTTGGAGGTTCTTGATATCTCACACTGTGGCATTGAAGAAATCTCCAGGAGAACTTTTATTGGCACACAGAAAATACGGCATTTATGTTTAAGCCGAAACAAGTTGATGATTTTGGATTTTCTGGCCCAACCAGAGCTGAATCCTCTTACATCACTTTATGTCGATAAAAACAGCATTACTAGCATCCCACTTCAAGTTCTACAAAATTTGCCCACAAACCTTTCAGATTTTGATTTGTCCTCTAACCCCATCGATTGCTCTTGCTCCCAGACAGATTTTATTTCGTGGATTATCCAAAATCAGAACATTTTGAAGCAACAGGAAAATATTTTCTGTAAAACCATTTCACTAAGCTCAGATTTTAGAGCAACAGACTTTGACACTGACAGCTGTGTGCACAAGAAAAGACTCACAATGGTTTTATCGGTATGTTTTGTTACAGTAGTAGTTCTTTTATCACTCTTGGTTTATAGGTTCCAGTTTTATCTTCAGTATTGCTGTATTTTACTGAGAGGCTACAGATCACCTGGACAACAAGAATGTTCCTATGATGCATTTGTGATTTTCTCCAGCTATGATGAAGTCTGGGTCATGAATGAACTGATGGAGAATCTGGAGAATGGTGTTCCACCTATTCAGCTTTGCCTGCATATGCGGGACTTTCAAGCAGGGAAGTCCATCGCCTCCAACATTATCGATGAAGGAATAATGGGCAGTCGTAAAATCATTGTGGTCGTGTCTCAACACTTCATTGATAGTGCCTGGTGTCGATTTGAGTTTGAATTAGCTCAGTCTCGCTTTATGATGGAGCGCAATGCCAACATCATCATCATCATTCTGGAAGATGTGGAAGAGAGGAAGTCTAAGAAAGTGTTTGGACTTCATAAGCATCTGAAAAAGAACACATACCTAAAATGGAGCAGAGACCCTTTGAGTAACATGAGATTCTGGATACGCCTCAGGAAAGCTATTTTAGATCATTAATCTAAGCAAATATGTATGTGAATGTGTGTAATGTGAAATCAAATAAACTGATGCTTCAATTGAAACAAATAATGCAATTGCAAATAATGTTTTGTTTCATAGTCAGTCATTTTTCACAAGACAAACTGTCTGTAATGTTCCATTTGTTGTGGATACTGCACACAGAGGGCTTTCAGCTCCTCTTGGCATGCACTTCTCTCTTGAAACAAAGGTGAGAAGTGAAAGTTGCATGCACACATGAATTAGTGAGAATACAGTATGAACAAAACTATATTAAACACTATTGTTCTTTTGTGGTCAAATAAATTCAAGCCTAACTTCTCATAAAAGTGTTACTGGAAACACTGATGTGTGGATTTATTAAGTAATATTCTATAAATAGCAGCAGAAAAGTTCCTCCTTTAGTGCATGATGACTCTGTAACTGAATTTCCAACCTTTGGACTGTAGTTTGCTCTTTTTCACTTGATTACGCATTAGGAGTTTCACAGCTCTCTCTCTCTCTCTCTGAAAATAGATAATAGCTCACATGAAATGTAAATAAAACTATTTATTTATTTATTTATTACATTTTTGGGCTTTCAGATGCCATGTACATTATATTGATGATATGATGATACTTAAAGAATAATGTGAAGATTTTACTTTGATTGTCACCTGTTACACATTTTAGACTTGGATGCTTACATTTTGTGTAAATTAAATTTTTTTCTGAGCTTTGATGTAGATATGCAAATACTAATTACTTTTAAGCTGTTGCATGTGGACATGAATTGAAGTGTACATTTTTTCGGTTGTGCAACACAGTTTATATAGAGAAATCAAGTTTTCATTAATCGGCAGAGGAAACTTACACAGCATTAACTTTTTTGAACCTGACATTATAAAAACATTTCTGTCATGACAACTCTCGGAGGGATTGGCATGGTAATGTACATGACAATGTTAATGTATTTGGTCTTGGCAGAACGGATCTGCTACGCTGCTGCTGCGGCGGCGGCAGAGCAAGTACAGAGACTTGCTGCTCCCAATACAGTCACAACATGCTGCTGTGAGCATGTAAGAAATATTGCTGCTGCAAATATAACATACATGAAATAACCCCCATATAACATACATGAATCACCTCGTAGCAGATCTATACAGGTGGAGCTGGGGAAGGTGGAGGCTTTCTGAAGCAAGCTGCAACTGCTACGGCAAGCACTAGTCATATATTTGAATGTTGAGCAGCGAGCTCATTGGCTACCGATACAGGAGAGAACCAATCAGCTGTGCCATGTGATAATGAAGTCATTAGGTCAGATTGAGTTAGACCTATCGGACTGCGCCATCTAGAGTTTCATGCCAGAACTCTGTATTTACAGCTGAAACCGCAGACTTTTACTTCTCCTTATGGTTCACCGTCAACACAATGGCCTTGTGTGAGTAACAGGTGTTTACAATGTTTATGTTACAATATTTACATATTTGTTTTTCTCTTTGTTCTGACATCAGCTGTCACACCTATTCAGGAGGTGTCACCCTAACCTG